AGGAATCACCCTTCTTCTTGCACTTCTCAAATTTAGCAACGAAAATAGTAAAAGTAAAGGAAGACGGAGAGGAAACTTTTATAGTAAATTGAGTCGCACTCACTCCCTTATATTTTTTTGATCTTCCACTAATCTAAATGAAATTTCTCCTTTGACTAAAAAAAATAAAATTGTTCTAGTTCAAAACATGGAAGTAAAGACTTGGACAATTATTATTTCTACAAGCTAAAAAAGTAGGTGTCATTCTAGAAGGGCTTACCAAATTGAGGATTTGAGATGCGACGATAAAGACTAAAGGTGGTTGCCATGAGTGGAAGATGATGTACAGCACAACAACCTGACAAAGAGGGAGGATGGTGTTGCCAGCACAGCATCATCGACAAGGGGGGAGGACAGTGTCGCTGGCACAACGTCATCAACAAAGGTGGAAGATGGTGTCGTCAGCAAGGGTGGGGGATGGCATTGTTGGCAGAATTAGAGATAAGGGAGGGGAGGAGTAAAGGGCAATTTAGTCTAGAAAATTTCAATTCTGGAATTGATTTTCCAACATTAAAGGGGAGGTAGTATAACATCTTGAGTTTTAATTCCCTGATTAATTAAACCTAATTAGGATAATTAAGTAAATTGAAGTGGTGTGTGGTCAGAGAGGTCTAATAATCATGTTTGATGCTATTTTAGCTCTAGTTATGAGTCCGGTGTCGAGGTGGATCACCCAAGCATCGAAAGGAGAAGCAAAGGAAGAATTGAAGTTGCTGTGCCATATACCGCGGCACATAGATCGTCTACCGCAGCGCATAGCTATCTCTGAGTGAGGGAGGACCTCTCTATGCCATGCACCGCAGCACATTGTGTGTCTGTCATGGTGAAAGGCCATTTTTTGTACTTTATCAGATGCAAAATGAGACCAAAAAAAGAAAGAAAAGAAAGGAGAGAAAGAAGAGGCACGCCAAAGCTTTGTTAGGGCTTACTTGGGGATCACTTTAAGAGTATTTTGAAGGCTACAAACACCCAAGGTAAGTATCATACTCATTAATCTTCCCTTTTCTTCCACATTTATGAGTTTATGGTTAGGGTTTAATAGTTGAAGTGGAATTTCGGTCCATATAGGTTATAGGTCTGAATTTACTGACTCAAATGGAGTTAATAGGGTAGATTAAAGTATTTAAACCTAGGTATGATAAGTTTTGGTGTCTTGGGCTGTTGGGCACCATAAATACCCAAAAAATCCCATTTATTATGATAGTTAGAAGTTTGTGATACCATTAATGAGAATTTAATAGCTCATTAATGTTATTAGGAGCTAAAGGTAATTATTAAACCCAATGGTTAGGCTCCACCTCTTGTAAGGTGAAGGTTGGGCAATTTAAAAGTAGAGATTGAGAGTTCAATTGTTGATTTTGTTTTGTTGATGAAATTCAGATTGGTTGTTTGTAGCTTTAGCTCTTGGTCACTTATTGGAGTAGAAATTCAAACTTGGAAGCTAATTGATTGAGGGGTAAACCTTTGACCTCTCAAAAGTTTGAGGTAATCAGGGAAAAACTCTACTTTATGTATTTGTATGTTAATTAATGGTTAATTAGTTGTTGAATGTGAGATTATGAATGTTACATGCATGGATTGGGTGTTTAAGTAAGAACTATATATTAGCTTCTTTGAGTGTATGAAAAAGCTATTTTTGGGCTTGAAAATGCAATTATAAAGTTAAGAGGATTGTATTATGAATATGCCTATATTTTTAAGAAATGAATGTGATGATATGTAGAAATAATTTTATGTTAATAAAAAATGAATCTTGAGAAAAAGATGAGAATACATACTTGGGTAACGCAAGATCGTGAGCCCAACGTAATTGTTGTAATAGAGAGTATATGAAAGCAAAAAAAGTAAACTCAAGTGAGTAATGATTATGGCATGATTAGTGATGGGAGTTTGCCTAGGAATTTGTGAGTAGAGAAAATTCATATGGTAATTAGGCTGCTCTTTGGTGCACGTGAGCTATAACCTTGTCCTATTATTTGTCAAGGAACTGTCCCATAGTTTGTTGAGGGACTAGAACCTAGCTATCTCCACCGGTTTATGAGGAGAATAACCTAGGGTATGAGATACCCCAGGGATTCAAGAATGGGGAAAGCTGTGGTCTGAGAGTGAGTCTTGTGATCTTTGGCCGAGTCACACCTCACAATTGGTGAGTTTGGGTAGTCCAGTCACACAAACGGAGCCCTAATCAATGTTATAGCCCATGGTTTCAATATGAGAAAATAAAGAGGATATAAGGTTGGTTGATCATTATCTAAGTAAATATATGACATGTTACACATGCTAAGTGGTGGTAGGTCACCAGAGTATAGGTCTTGTCACATATTTGAGAATATGGTGACAATGCACCTAGTGATGTGAGTAAATAAGCTATAGAGTGTTAAATAATAAAATGTGATATATGGGGAAATGTTTTATAAATTTGAACTCATTGTGCATGTAATTGTTTTATAATTGATATATAACTGTATAAGGTAGGTTTAACTTGGTTACTGAGTGGCTAGACACACCCCTCTTATTTAATACTTTTCAGGCTCTAGCTTTGGTGTTGAGAGGGAGAAAACTAAAGAGGTGGGAAATTAGTACATTCCTTCTTATATGCCTTTAGTTTTGATGTAGCTGTGTAATAGCATATGTTTGCCAATTCTAAGATGCATATTACCCATACTTGCACTATTTTGGTTTGAAAATGTTAAAATTATATTTTGGGCCCTTAGCCTTTGTGTAAGTTATCATATTTATGTTTATAGGGTGAAAATATTAGTGCAAGTGTAGAAATGAACATTTGAGCATGTTTTGAATGATTTGAGTTAAATGCAATGCTAATTTACCTCCCCCTTTATTTTTGTTAAATTGGGATTGAGGAGTGAATTTTTGTTATAATGATATTTTGATGCTTGTGACATGTTGTACTAATAGTCTTAGATTTATTGGACATGGTCCAGGTATTAGGAAAAGACTTTTGACACTTGTTGAGGGTTTTGAACACCCACTTTGTGTAAAAGTGTTAAAAAGTTGTTTAAATGTGTTTAGGTGTCCAACTTTCTAATGTGACTTGTTTTGAAAACAAAACCCATGCCATTAGCCAGTATAGGAATCGAGCTTTTCGTAAACACCTAGATCACGTCATTTGAACGTCAGACGAAGAATCGGGGCGAGTCAAAATTTTCCCAATTTTGACAGTAGAACCAGTGCAAAATTCGTGCAATACGCCACGGCGCATGGCGCTTGAGCCCAGCACGTGGCACAGAGAGTAACACGCCACGATGCATTGCTCTGTATTTCAATACATAATTTGTTTTTAACTATTTTTGACTTCTTTCACTCCTCTAAGGTATCTCATGCTTTCAAAATTTATTTTTACTCTAATATAAAAGGTTTTGATTGATCTTAACTTGTTCCTATTTAGAAAACTTGGGATCCTTTTCTTTTGAATTAAACCTTAGTAATCACTCTTCGGAGCTTATCCCTCAATTACCATGAGTTTTATTTATTAAGTATCTTTAGTGGAGTGAGACGTTACAGGTGGTATTGGGTAGTCCCACCTAGATAGGATTCGACTTGGCATTAAATTTTTCATTCTCACCTACCAAACATAAAAAACTTGGCATTATGTAATACCATTACCAGTCCTACTTTGTCATTCCTTCATACCAAACAAGCCCTAAATTCCCAAATATATCCCAACTATGCAATCTCCTACCTATTTGGCTCTACAACATTCTTAATAAAATAACAAATCTCACTATAAAGACTTTAAATCCTTAATTAAAGAATTAGGATGTTACAGTACGTGTCATGTACTTCGTGATATGCATCATATATTATACCACTTGTATTATTATATATTTTTGTCAAGATATTTCTTTTTTTATATACTATTACTTCCATCCTAATGTATAAGACATTTTTAGACAAAATCACGCATATAAATAAAACTTATTAAATATACTTTACAATCTTAATTTTCAAAGGAAAAATAGAAATTTTTATAAATGCCCTTAATTTAATAATCTATTTGTGAAAAATGTTAGAGAGAGAGGGAGAGAATATATGATAGTAATAGTAATATTCAAAAAATATCATTAATAAAATCTTATTTTTATCAAGGTATTTTATATTTTGAAATGTTCAATCTCTCCAAAAGTGCCTTATAAATTGGGACAATGGAGCATTTACTTTAATATAATTATAATTAGGATTTTCTATTTTGATGGATTGACCAAGTTCCTACTTAATTAACTTGATCCTGTTTGGGTAACCGTACATTAAACCATATCTTGGATGTGTTTCCAAATTTAATAAATAGTTGAATCTTCTAAATGAACTTTTGCCCTATGTAAATTGAAAACCAAACACATACTAGTGAATTCCATAAACGTAAGTCATTTAACTAACAATCAATGCATGTTATTAGCTTGTTGGAACTCAGAAACTCATGTAGTTTATATAATTCCTCTCTTAAAAAAAATATAAGACATGTTTTTATTAGATATGTTGAAAAACATAAGGCATTTTTAATTTCTTAATATGTAATTAATGAGTTTTTTTTTTAAAATATTCTTAATAAATAAATCACTCAACTCCTTTACCTTTAAATGAAATACCTTATTAAATAGGATAAACATGAAAAGATAAGGTTTGGTCCAAAGATAATTAACTAATTTATTGAAGATATATTTTAATTAAAAATGTTTTATATTTTTTTAAACAGGAAAGAGCATAAGATTAATTTCATGAGAAGGCTTTAATTAACAAGAAGATGTAATAAACACTAATCAAAAGAATCTCTAATGGCATTAAATTTTGACAATATAATTGATATTAAATCTCTAAAGTAGAAGGCTAAAAATTTAATTATTTAATATAAAAATAATTATTTTATATTAGTCAAATATATAGTTAAGATTTTTTAATTATTAAATTTATTTAAACACTGAATACAAGGCTCCTTTGGTATTTTCATTACGAGAGAAAAAGCTGAACGTTCGATCCCCTCTATATGCATATGCATCATCACCTAGGAACAAAAGCTGATAGACTCAGACTAATATCACCGCCACCCTTGTTCGCTGAGCTTGAAGAAGCTTCTCCTGCAGAATATACGCCACCCAACGTCAAACTCAGATCATCATCATCCTCCATAGCCTTCCCTGCTAAAAGCTCCTCTTTACGATTGCGTACTCTGACTCTCAGATCTTCCAGCGACGTCTTCATTTTCATCAGCTCCTCTCTGTTCATCTTTTCGATATCTGGAAGATTCATCATTCTCTTCTTCAGCTCCTTCCCTCGTTTCTTCTCTTCCTTCAACTGTGCATTCAGATCGCAGCAGTGCTTGTTCAGTTCAGCCAACCTAGCTTCTCGTTCGGCCCTTTCTTCATGATCGATCTTTGGATCTGCAGAACCGGTGACGAGTCTGTTGATTACTGCTTCCGACGAAGGATGGCTGAAGGAGTAGGGTTTACCGCCTGGCGAGAAGATGATGAGAACCATCTCCACGGCGCACAAGGTACAGAGCTCGCTGGCTTTCTTGAAGATTCCGAATCGACGCTTGGAGAAGGTGACGTGCTTGATTCTTGCGTCTTGGATCAGTGTCTTGTTCTTCTTGCTTGGTCTTCTCGCCATTGTTGGTTATTGCAGATGGTGCGGAATAACTGTAGAAATTCAAGTGATGATCAGATCATGAACTGAGTTGATGGTATTGATGATGAAGAGAGAGAGAGAGAGAGTTGTACGTGAATTTATAGCTGCTTCATCAATTAGAGAGTTTGATTCTGACTTTGAAATATGCTTATGTCATCGTCTCATTGGCTCACTTCAGTTTCTTTCCATATTTCACGTTTAAAAATTAAAAGGTATGTTTGGTTGCTAGAAAATTAAATAAGAATGTATAAACATTAAAAAATAAAGATAAAAATAAAATAATTAAAATATGAAGATTAGATAGGTTAATCATATTCATGAAAGAGTAAGAGTAATTTAGTTCATTCATAATATTAAAAATCATGATTTTTGAGGTTTGTGGAGTATGTAATGATTCTCATTTAATTTTGTGATATGAGCCATGTGTTATTTGATTTTATCATATTTATTATGAGTGAAGGATAATTCTAGTTTATTTTTATTTTGATTTCTTCAATCTATTTCATTGATGTCTTACCTAGCAACCAAAGGGGCTTTATACTCCCTCCATCCCAATTGTAAGACATTTTTGAAAGAGATTAATTTGGAATCCTGAAGTATACTCCCTCCCTTTAAAAATATAAGATATTTTTTGAGGAGTTATATGTTAAAAAATGTAAGGTAATTTTAGTCTTTCAAGATATAATCATTGTCTTTTTTTTTTAAAGTGCCTCTATTGATAGTGACTTTATATTTATTATAAGATATTTAATAAAAGTTAATATAAAAAGATAGGGTTAATTTAAAAGTAAGTAACTACTTTATTGAGGGTAAGATTCGGTTACAAATGCCTTATATTTTTGAACATAGAGAGTAAAATATTTTGATAAAATAAAGTTTCATTAATGATTTTTTTTTTCAATATTACCCTTTCTATTATTCTTTTTATCCTTTTACTATTCTTTCATAAATAGAGTATATATTAAATAAAGAGCATTTTTAAAATTTTATATTTTTATTTTTAAAAAATAAAACCGTAATTGTATTTAATGAATTTTATTAGTATATGTAATTTTATTTAAAAAACTATTTTATAATTTGGAAGTGGGGGAGTATAATTTTTCATGAGGTCAAACATCGCGAGAAATTCTCTTAAGATTCCTCGCATAAATAGTTTCTAAAGAACATTCTAAACATTTATTGTGAAAATGAACGCATGATAACCAATAAGTACAAGATTTGATGAATTTGAGTGTGTACTGATGTCAAAAAAAGACCTTTAGTAGGCTACTCTTCAATTAGACTTGTCGATGGCCGAAAATGATATACTGTCACAGGTATAAACTATATTAAAAAAAAAAACGTGTTGAGCACTTTATTTTTATTAAAAATTAAGTATTTTCATCAAGTGTTCATTTAATTTAAATTTCTTAAGATGTATTCTCTCTATTCCTATATATAAAGTGTTTTTTAACCCAAATTTCACATACAATAAAAATTTATTATTTAGTTGAACTCACATAAAAATACAATAATTTTCTAATTTTACCCCCTATAATAGAATAATTAATATCATAATGGTGATAGAAAAAATATATAATTAATAATTTATTTTTTTTTCAAGAACAAGGTAAAATTATTTAATTATTTAAAATATTATTGTTATTCTTTATTTTATATATTATAAACAAAATAACTTTTAGAAAATATTTTATATGACGGAGGGAGTAAATGATAATCGAAACGTATGCCACCTCTATGAATGTTAATAGTCACTTAATCGGGCAGATTCTTTCTCTTCTATGTAGACAATGACAAGTAGAGATTGAGCACATCTAGTGGGGAGGGAAATAAATGCGTGAATTTTTTAGTCTCTTTTGCCCTATCCATAAATTGGGGTGTACATGACCTACATCATCCACCAGACGATTTGAGAAAGTTTTTTGCTCGATGATACTACATATGTTAGACAGATTTGTATTAAATTTGTGACATTAAATCCTAGTTGGGTCTTTCCTTTTCTGAATGAAAACAATAATAAACGAGACATGAATATGAGTTAAAACTGAATCCAATATATTAAATGTATGTTTTTCATCTTTAATTGATTTGAAAAAAATTCGGTCCAGATTATCTGCATCTTGGAAAGACAATCACGTGATATGTATCTGGGTTTCGGTTCTTTGTTGTTTTTGAAACAACAATACCATTGTGATTGTTTCAAGAACACCTCTGAACCATTCAAATTTGATATGAAAAGTCCAAAAACTTTTTATATATTATATTTACTATTTTTTAGTTTAAATTTTTAATATACAAAGAAAAATAATAACTTAACTGTTAGTTTTTTTAAAGAAACTATTAAAAAGGAAAATTTATTATATATATACACTATATGCACACACTCCCTCCCATCTAAAATATAAGCTGTTTTTCTCAGATAATTTTGGTGAATATAAGCAACTTAGTATTTGTTCCCTATTCTTTTGGTTTATTTATAAATTACTTTCCAGCATATTTATCTAAAATTAAAAAAAAATCTTAAATTTTATTAACCCTACTTAAAAATTTAGCCTATTTTTTATTTTATCCATATTAAATATAAATAATTTAAAAAATAAAATTCCAACATTTAATAACCTTCACAGTATTTAATATAGGTAAAGGGTGAAGATGAACACAATTAATAATCCTTAAGATGCTCTATAAATAGAACTAAACAAATATTCTCTCACTTTATCTTATAAATAAGACAAGCAGAGTATATATGTTCATAACAATAAGTATTTTTTGACATGCAGATTATTGTTGATAAAGCTACTTATATTTTGGATTAGAGGGAGAATAAAATACAAACTTTACTAAATTTACCCCTTGTTTAATTTTATTGAAGTATGTGCATTATGACATATTGTTAACTGAATTAAATAAATTAGTTAGATTGTTGAGTGAAAGAGTGTGTAAAATAGAAAAAGTACGATGTATTAACTTTTTTTGAATTTTTTAAAATATTTTATAATATGCAACAATTTTTTCTCTTTATTTATAAAGATTAAGACAATAATTAAATAGAAGAAGATTATTTACAAATTATTTTCACCATGGTGCATTTATGTGATCACTCAAGCCATGGCTTTGTAGGACATTATGATTAGTTCTTACGAATTAAATCAAATTTATTTCAGGAATGAAGAAGCCTTAGCCTAGTGAACTTATCTTCCATATTGTGGGAACGATATCAAAATACTTTTAAATGGAAATAGTCTTCACCAAATGTTTGTAGATAATATAGTTCTCTAAACATCACACTTTTAGGAGAACTTTAGAGTGTCTCAAATCTCAATCTTATATCTATCTATTGGTAACTAATTAATTTTCACATACAGCATTTTAGATGGAGCATATATTCGGAGTTTAATATTGTAGAAGCTGTGAAGTTGGCTATGGAGGAAAATGGGATTTGATCATGCAAAAACCATTATTTGTTGTGTCGAAACCGAACATGTGGAAATCAAGATTGGTGACATATATGAGAGATGGGTTCGTCTCATAAAGTGTTTTTCTTTTTGCCTTCAAATTGTTTCCACAATTAATTGTATGTGGATTTCTGACAAGAAGATCAATATGGTGATGATTAATTTTCTTGTCACCAAATCGGTTATCGATCCAAATGATTTTGGATTTTAGCCGGGAAAAGAGCAATAACTCCCTATATGTATGTGTCTGATAATACAAACTACCAAAAATTGATGAAAATTTCAAGTGCTTGGTCGCTAGATTTATGGACGCAGATAATTGTAAGATGAGCCCATTTAATTTTTGTGCTACAGTACAGGACTTTAAATCAGTAGTTTAATTCAATTATCAATAAATTTTATAATAATTATTTTTTTTTTGTATTGTGATCTAGTTGTAATTTTCCCCTTAAAGAACTCCATGCATGTAGTTGCATAAATTGAGCTGTATAAATTAAGCTTTTTCTTATAGTAGTGTGGTGGAGGTGAGTACTTGTTTTGGGTGTATGTATAGCAACTTAATGAAAATGTCTATAATTTATTCTCATTATTTAAATGATAATAATAATATCTACTATGCAATGCTT